AAACAATCTTATGGTTACCAGGGAAAGGAGATGGGAAGGGATAAGTTTGGGAGTTTGAGATTTGCAAATGTTAATGACTACATATTAAAACAGACTAAAAAACAACAAAAAACAACAACAGAAGAAAATTTTATGTGTAGAAAATCCTAAGGACTCTTTCAAAAAGTTACTGGAACTAACTACTTTAGCAAGGTTGCAGGATTTAAGATCAAGATACAAAAATCAATTGTATGTCTTTATATTACTAACGAAAAACCCCAGAGTCAAACTAAGAAAACAATTCCATTTACAATAGCCTCAGAAATCAGACAATACTTGGTAATCAGTTTAATAAAAGCCTAAGACTTGGAACCTGAAAACTATAACATATCACCGAGCGAAACGGAAAAAAATCTAAATAAATGGTACAGAACAATTGGCTATCCATATGCAAAAAATAAAAGGAATTTAGATCCTTATCTCACACAAACATTAACTCAAATGGATCACTGGCCTAAATGTAAGAACGAAAGCTGTAAAAATTATAGAAGACAATGTAACCTTAGGTTAGAGAAACACTTTTAAAATATAACACAATCCAGAGGGGAGGATATAGCTCAAGTAGTAGAGTGCATGCCTAGCATGCATAAGGTCCTGGGTTCAATCCCCAGTACCGCCTCTAAGAGCAAATAAATCAACAAATGAACCTAACTGCCTCCCCCACAAAATAAATAAATTTAAAAGATAACACAATCCATAAAATATAAAATCAATCAATTTGGACTTTTTTCATCAAATTGTAACAATTTTGCTCTTTCAAGGCACCATTAGGAAATGCAAATACAGACCACAGACTGAAAGAAAATATTTGCAGATCATCTATCTGATAAAGAACTTGTATCCAGACTATAATATAAAGGACCCTTAGAACTCATTAATAAGACGACCAATCCAATTTAAAAATGAACCAATGCTCTGAACAGGCACTTGGCCAACGAAGACATATGAAAGGATAATAAATGCATGAAAAGCTGCTCAATATCAGTAGTTACTAGGGAAATGCAAACTAAAACCACAGTGAGATACTACTTCGTACCCACAAGGATGGCTAAAATAAAAAAGACCAACATTACCAAGTGTTGGCAAGGATGTGCAGAAACCAAAGCCTCACACACTGCTGGAAGGGAGGCAAAATAGTGCAGCTAGTTGGGTGGTTTCTTAAAAAGTGAGCCCTGCACTGGTCATGCCACCCAGCAATTAAACTTCCAGGAATCCACCCAAGAGAAAGGAGAACAGATATCCACACAAAGACCCGTACGCAGGCATTCACAGCAGCATTATTCGTAAGAGTCCAAAACTAGAAGCAATCTAAACATCTAGTAACTGGTGAGCGAATATACACAATGTGGTCTATCCATACAGAGGAATACTATTCAGCAATAAAAGGGAACAAACGCTATAATGTGGATGAACCTCAAAAACACTGGTAAGTGAAAGATGTCAGAACCAGACTGCATATCATTCCATGTATATGAAATTACCAGAAAAGGTGTATCTCTAGGGACGGAAGGTAGATTAGCAGTTGCCTGGGGCTGGAGTTGGGAACATTTCCAAGCTCCCTCTGCAAATGGGCAGAGGGAACTTGGAAATGTTCTAAAAGTGGGTTATCACAATACTATAAGTTTACTAAGAATTACCAAACTGTATACATATAATGGGTGAATTTTTTTCACTTGAAAATTATGATAGAGAACATATCAACTTAACCATCTTACTCACTTCTGAGTACACAGTTCAGCAGTAGTAAGAGTATTCCCACTGTTGTGCAACTGCTACCACCATCCACCTCCAGGACTTTTTCATCTTGTGAAACAAACTCTATATCCGTTAAACAATAATCCCCGTTCCCCCTCCCCCAGGCGCTGGCACCCCCCATTTTACTATTCATTTGATGAACTTGATTACGCTAGGTACCTCATATAATTAGAATTACACAATATTTGTTTTTTCGTGACTGGCTTATTTCACGTAACATAACTCAAGACTCATCCATGCTGTAGCATGTGACAGGGTTTCCTTCTTTCTTAAGGGTGAGTAACATGAATGCATGAATTTTATGGTATGTAAATTATGTCTCAAGAAAGCTGTTTTTTTAAAAGAGGCAAAACTCTGGAGGATTACCTTAGGAGGGGGCAGAGACTGAAAGGGGGCATAATAGGGAGGTCTGGGGCCAATACTGTTTGTTCTATTTTTGGATGTGGATGCGGATTAACTGGAAGGGTGCGTGCTATGAAAATTCAAGGAGTTCTAGCCTTGTGACATGTGCTCTTCTGTGTGTTAATCAATAAAACGTTTCATTTAAAAAAATCTGTGTTTAGACTATTTCACAGGGTTACTTTGAGGCTCACACAGGGCTTCGTTAGCTATAAGCTACTTGGCAACTGCAGGACCTGTTGTAGGATCTTGATGACAGCTTTGAGCTTTGAATAAATAGGGCCCCCAGGCCTGTCTGTTGGGTCCCCAGTATTTACTGACCAGGACTCCCATTGCACGCTGGGGAGACATTTCATAGGAATTCAACTGTGTGTTCTGAATAAATACTCAGAATGGCCCTGCCTCTCTGCCCTCCACTCTCATCAGACAGCCTGGGCGGCAGCCCCAGCCAAGTATACCCTCTTCACCCGGTCCCCTCCCAGCGCCCAGCAAAGGCGGAGACTGAGACTCACTCTGCAGCACGAGGACCACCACTTTCTCCACCGCCCCCATCTCGTTCTCCGCCAGGCACTGGTACTGTCCGGCGTCGTCCATCTGCGGGTGGGCACGGGAGGGGGTGTGGTGCTCAGGAGAGGAGGACGACGGGGAGGGGAGCATCTGGGGACAGCTGAGCACAGAAAGGGGCTACCCGAGCAAGGCCCAGCTAACCAGGAGGGAGCTTAGAGCGTAAACCAGCCGGGGGCTCGCAGATTCCATCACATGTCAACAGAAGTCCAAAGAGAATCCAGCCCCTTTCACACCTGGAACCTGGGGTGGGGGGTGGCGACCAAGGGCTTGGACTCATTGCCCTAAGGGGAGCCACATGCTACAAAAGCATGATTTAGATCCACCTCTTCCAAATTGCGTACGTTGCGGCATTAGGGCTCCATGGCATTTGATTAGGGAGTCCTTGAACAAAGGGTTCCGTGGTCGAAGAAGTTTGGGAAACACTGAGTTAGACAATGACAGGTTTCTAACTGCAGGCTTCTGGGGGCTTTCACTGCGCCAGGGCGCACTGCGAGTTCTCCAGAGGGGGAGGGTTCGCAGCACTTCCTGGCCTCGGGGATAAGGAAGTTTTTTTTCACAGGATATCCACAACCACAGACAGTGGTGCAACTTAGGAAGGATGCTGGCTCGGATTCACTTCCGAGTGGCAGCGCCACAGGAGACGGAGCTGGGGCAGCCTGAGGCCTCTGTCCGCGCCCAGATGATATCTCGGAGACTGCTCCCAAGGGACTGTCGGCGGGCAGCACGGCTCGCAATTAACAGTGTCGATTTGGGGTGAGGGCGTATAGCTCAGTGGTAGAGCACATGCTTAGCATATACGAGGTCCTGGGTTCAAGCTCCGAGAAACCAAATAAATAGATACATCTAATTACCTCCCCGCTGCAAAAAAAAAAAGTGTCAATTTGGGCATCAGACCAAGTCAGGACCAAATCCTGGCTCCACTGCTTACCGTGCTGAACCCATTACTAGTACATTGCCATGTCTCTGGAGCCTCAGTTTCCCCATCTCTAAAATGCGGATAGTAACAGTAGGATTGTTGTAAGCATCCAATGGCATCACGCTAAGTGCAAGGCGTGGTGCCTGGTCCACAGCAAACACTCAGAGCGAAGCAGCCCTTACTGCTGCTGCGGCTGCTGCCTTCACCAGTCTGGGGATTCTCACCATCTAGAGACAGGCTCCCAAATGAGCGAGATCAGGGACCCCTAAGATGAATCCTTGACAGCACCAAACTGTGGATTTCTGCATCTCCACTGGGACTTGGGACACAGAAGGGAAGATGAGCAGGAGTTGCCGCATTGCCCAAGGCTTTGGAAACAGCATGGAGTAGGAATCAGGAGACCTGGGGTGGGGTCCTGTCTCAGGTGCTTACTGATTGTGGGCCACTCTGAGCCTCAGTGTCTTCATCTGTAAAATGAGGCACTCTTAGCTGCCTACTCTGCCCCATGGAATTGTTATTAATAACATATATTGACATTACTGAGGGACCAGTCACTCTTAAGTACCTGGTGTGGGTCATCTCATTGATTCCTCAATACAAACCTACTGAAAAACAATTATTAGTTGCGTTGAAAGGATGAGATAACTGAGGCACAGAGAAGTTAAGTCACTGGCTGGAGGTCACCTTAATTAGTTGGGGGAGAATCTCTGGGTAACAGGCAGGAAAGTGCTTTGTCAACTGTAGAGGGTGGTGCCAATCTAAATAGCTATCTCGAGAAATCAGACAAAGCAGAGGGTTGTCCCAGGTGGCCCTGCCCCAGGTCCCTCCTTGCCTCAGTCCTGTGGATGGTCAGCGAGCCATTCTGCAGCCGGTGCCGAAGACGGCTGTCCCGCAGTGGAAGGCCATCTTTGATCCAGTGGATGTCAGGTGCTGGGTCTCCACGGACCACACAGTCGAGCCGGATGCTGCCCCCAACGGGTTCTACCAGGTAGGAAAAGGCCTCCCCTTGTAGGACAGGAGCCTCTGCATGAGGTGACATCAAACAGAGGGTCAGAAAGGAGGCTCCCTCCAGGCTAAGCTTCCCATAAACCCATCCCCAAAGGTCTGCTCGCCAGACCACAGGGGCCTACAGAGGCTCCTGCTGGCTCAGTATGGCTGTGTAGAGTCAATGCATCAGGGATGGCAAACAGCTTCTGGGTCATGGATCAAGTGACACAGACTGGCAGTGGCTGCCAGGAACACTGTGCTGAGAAGGATTTGAAGCTGAGTGGTAATGGTGCTATGATTGATTAGTGATGTCTGAGATAGGCACAGGAGGGAAGAAAGGATATGAGTGTCATATCCTCATTCTCACAGAAGGATTACCCCAGCAGCAGGGTACTTTGGAAAACAAGGACTACGTGATCATTAGGATGCCTCTGTTGGACACAGCAACACTAAGATGTCCCTGATTCTCATTTTATGCAACTCTTAAATCAGTCCTGGAAGGCCTATGTCAATTTTTATCCTTGCTGGTTTCCTGTGGTTGGATCTACCAACAGCTACAGCTGTGCTCTCGTGCCCTGAGCAGCTCATTCCTCTCCCTCAAGCCCCAGCCCCATCCTAAAGTTGAGCATACAAGTCATGGGGTCACCATGAACTACTCCCAATGGGTTATCAAACTACTCCGAGTGGAGGAGGAGTGTGGGGAGCAACTGGCAGGCTGGCAAGATTCATGCATTTTTTGGCCAGGGTACCCTGGCCCCCATCCCTCCTCCCATGCCGACACCATCCAGCTGAGGGTAGCACTACAGATCGATTGGTCACATCTCAGTTCCACCTACAGGTAGGTCATCTGGGGATGGTAAGAAATACTGAGGCTGTCTACAGATAACAAATGCTGGAGAGGGTGTGGAGGAAAGGGCACCCTCCTACACTGTTGGTGGGAATGTAAATTGGTGCAGCCACTGTGGAAGACAGTATGGAGGTTCCTTAAAAAACTAAAAGTAGAGTTACCATATGGTCCAGCAGTCCCACTAATGAGCATATATCCAGAGAAGACTATAATTCAAAAAGATACATTCACCCCAATGCTCACAGCAGCACTATTTACAATAGCCAATACACGGAAGCAACCTAAATGTCCATCGAAAGATGACTGGATAAAGAAGTTGTGATGTATTTATACAATGGAATACTACTCAGCCATAAAAAAGAATGAAATAATGCCATTTGCAGCAACATGGATGGACCTAGAGATTATCATACTAAGTGAAGTCAGATAAAAACAAGTACCAGGTGATATCACTTATATGTGGAACCTAAAATATGACAAAAATGAACTTATTTATGAGACAGAAACAGACTCACAGACATAGAAAACAAATTTATGGTTATCAAAGGGGGAAGGTAGGAGGGGAGGGATAAATTAGGCATTTAGGATTAGCAGATGCAAACCATTATATATAAAATAGATAAACAACAAGGTCCTACTGTACAGCACAGGGAACTATGGTCAATATCCTGTAATAAACCACAACGGAAAACAATATGAAAATAAGTATCTCTAACTATCTGAATCACTTTGCTATACACCAGACACTAACATGACAATGTAAATAAACTATACTTCAATATAAAAAAAATACGGGTACTGGGGCCTCACGCCAGAGAGGCTGGCTTACTGAGTCGGGGCTGGCCCAGGTGGGCCTCCGTGTAAACTACCCCAGGAAGTCCTAATGCGCAGCCAGGGTGGAGAGTCACTAGTTCAGAGGTCAGGAGGCCGGTTTCTTAGAGAAACCACTGGGTGGGGTCAGCGGAGGTCTGGAGAAAGGCCACATCGTCACTGCCTACCCTTCACGTGGACGAAGCTGACCGCCTGCACGCGGCCCACTCTGTTCTCGGCCCAGCAGACGTAGGTCCCGCTGTCTTCTCTGGTGACTGCCACCCGCTGCAGCATGCTGCCCCCGTCCTGCTCGGACACCCCGTCTGTGGCAAAGAAAGAGACGCCCCAGGGGCCTCTGAGCCCAGGGTGCCAGGGACTCCTTCCCTGAGCACTTAACTCAGGCCTGGGTAGCCAGCAGGTAATTCATAAAGACACAAGGTGTCCCTTCCCCTGTTGGAAGCCTAACCGAGTTGGACTGGATCACGGCAGGCACAGGGCATATTAGAGGATGGGGTTGAAGACCTGCCTTTTCTCATTTTCAAGTCTACACCGTGAGTTTGATGGGCAGCCAAGGAGGGTCTTTGGAGGCCTATTAACACTTCACACTTACAGAAATATTGCCACAGCTTACATCCAGATGGGTGCCACTAATGGCCTTTGTTTCCCCTGCAGTCATTAGACACTGTCCCGCCAGGAATAGGGGCAAGCCCTGCACTGACGGGGATTTACTCTGGGCGAGGCCCTGCCAGGTGCGCCTCCTGCATGAAACAGTTCCACCCCCAGGACCCTTGTTATCTTCATTTTAGGCTGAAGCAGCTGAGCTCCAAGAGCCTGAATCGCTCTCTCGAGCCCCCTGCCCAGGCCGTGGGGGTCTGAGGCAAAGCCTGCTCAGCAGGTGTGCAAAGGTGAGCTGCACACATTTCCTGGCGCCTGGACTTGGGTACAGGAGAGTCTGAAAATACCATTTTGCAGTGGATGGGACTTAGCCATTCATCCATTCAGCAGAAATTTACTGAGTGCCTGCTATGCACACCACAGCGCCTGTGCAGGCCTTGGGCCTCCCTAAATATCACCTGGGACCCAGGTGGGAGGCAAGAGCCCCCCACCCCAGGAGAGGCGTTTGCCGAGGGGCCTACGATGGGAGCGGCGGTGTTGGGCTGGAGGAACACAGCCTCCTCTCCTGGCCATGAGGTCTCCAGGGTGGAGTCTTTTTCTCAGGTGGCTTCTTGCCAGGTCTGACATGTGACTGGTCACACAGGACCACATGGCTGTTTGCCATGTGCCCACTGACAGGGCCAAGTCTGGAGACCCAGGACCCAAGATGGACCGACATCCCCTTCCTCTCCACTAGGTGGGGTCTCCCTACCTGCCTGCCCTCCTCAACCTCTCAGGGTCCAGGGTCCCTGTCCCAGACCTGTGACTGGCCGGTCGTTGACAGTCCAGCTAATTCGGGGTGTAGGGCTGCCTCGGGCCGCACAGCGAAGCCACAGCCTGTCCCCAAGGTGCAGGCTGCGGTCCCCTGGCAGGGTGGTGAAGACAGGCAGTGCCAGGATGGTGAGGTGCACACGGCGGCGGGCGCGGCCCACAGCATTCTCGGCGGTGCAGGTGTAGGTGCCAGCATCCTGGCTCTGTGGGCAAAGGGAGGGGTCAGCCTGAGAACTGCCCCACCCAAGCACAGGCCAGAATGCCCCCAGGGACCTGCCCCCCACTCAGGTTCCCATGGATCATCCAGCCTAGAGAGGTCAAATGACTTGCCCAAGGTCACACAGCTAGCAAATGGCTCGGCTTCACCATTGCCCCACTGCACCTCCCTGCAGCCTTCATATGGCCACATGCCTTGTGATATTTTAAGGCAGGACAAGAAAATTTATACATAAAATTCCTTCTCTACCTGTTTGAGCCTCCTCCCACCCCTTTTAATGTGAACATGCATCTGCATTACACATTAACCAGAACTTCTCAAAGGTGGGAGTGCCTGCTCGACCGTAAAGATCAATTTTTTCCCCTTTCTTCTGATGCTAGCAGTGTAACTTCTTTAAAGAATAGCATTCTTTCCCAGCTCTACAAGGGGTTGTGGTGACCTACTGCTCACTTTTTGCGTGCTTGCCTGGACTAGGCATTCTTGGTGAACTTGCTGTAAAGTGTCAGTGTTTCATTCTGATGTGCAGTCCTTTGTCTTGAGAATATATATGACTACACCCTTGACTTCTAACAGGTGGAACAGTTCTCAGACCTTCTGAGAGTCTGTCTCCTGGGTTATAAGTTATAATCCTCAATTTGGCTCAAATAAAATCCCCTTTTTCTTCTTCTTAATTTGATTGTTACTTGGATTTTTGCAGATAGCCTTCATAATCCATGCCTGACCACATGCTCGTAATGGTCACCATTTACTGAGCACCTACTATGTGCTCAGAGTGGGACCTGCACTTGCTCATCTGTGCTCACCTCGTCACCACCCCTGAGGCAGGTCCTGCTTTTGGTGTCCTCTCCAAGAGGACAAGTTCCATGGTGCATTCGAGCAGGGCGGGTACACTCACCACTGCACATCTGGCTCCCTGTGTGGCAGAAACCCTGGCCCCCGTGCCCCCTCCAGATGTGCCCGGCCAGCAGCTGCCTGTCCATCTGGAGAACAGTCTCTTTTATAATTACAGAACATGATGAGTGCTGATGGGGGCCAGGGGCCAGGGCCCCACCCACACTCCTGGCTCAGGTTGAGAACATTTAGGAGCAGTCTGGGGACACAAAGTCATTCCCACACCCCTCTCCCCTGCCCCCGGCTGTCCAGGGCTCCCTTCCTCCCCCAGGAACTAGCCCATAGAAGTCCTGATTCAAATGTTGGTTGTCTCTTGGCAATAGCATGGCTTTAAAATCTGGGTATACTCTGAACCTTGGTCTCCTCATCTGTAGCTGGGGTGATAACACCTACTTCCCCACATTCCTAGGAGTAAGTAACCGCACAGCGTTCAGCACAGAGCATGACAAATGCGGGGAGCTCAGCAGGTGTTTGCTGCTCCCACGGTTACTAGTCCCTCTAGTCCCTGGGGCCGGAGCCGCACCTCCGAGTTCTTCACCAGCAGCTCCCCGGAAGGTTGGATGGTGAACTTGCCCTCGGCTCCAGACACAGGCTGGCCATCTTTCTCCCAGGTGATGTCGGGCTCGGGACTGCCACGGGCCGTGCAGGGCAAGAGGGCGTGGGAGCCCTCGGTGGTGGACAGATCAGGGAGGCCAGTCTCGATCACAGGTGGGACTGTGGGGAGAGGGAGGTCCACTCGGGGACTCGGGCTGGGCTGGGGGGGCTGCCCCTGTCCCAGTGCCCTCGGCCTGTGGCACACCCTCAGCCCCTTCCTCCACCTCCATCTGCTGCCCCCGCCACCACCCCCCCGGTCATAGGCCATTGCCCGCAGTCTGAACAATCCGGGGATTTTCTTGAATTTGGGTGAAGCTGTGATGAAGTGACCTCATTCACACATGTGCACACGCATGACTAAAGGGACAGAAATGGCTATTGCTCCTGGAAAGCCAAAAGAAATGAAGAATGACCAAACTTGTTTCCCGCGAGGGCTAGAGGAGGCAGAGGGGACCAGAGTTACCGCGTGAAACCAGACCTCGAGCGCAAAGTGGGAGATGTCTTTCCCTAAATTCCTTCTAGAACCATAAACTGTGCTGGGGTTGGGGAGGAGGCAGGCATGTTCCCCACCTGGAACCAGAGCCAGGCAGGGAAGGGAGGGGCTCTCAGGAGCCTGAAAGCCCTTAGCCCTCTGGGGTCCACTTTGACCTCCCTCCAGGGACCCACCATGCACCACCAGCCGAGTCTTCCCCACGGCACTGCCTGCACTGTTTTGGGCAATGCAGAAATAGTTCCCGGCATCCTCTGGGCTGGCGTGGATAATCCGCAGCTGTCCACTGGGTAGGACCTGGGTGCTCACCCCTGGATTTGGTGGGAAACAATTGGGGGCTGGTGGCTGGGGCAGCAGAACCCCCAAGAAAGGCAGGAAGGCTGCTTGAGCAGTTCTGTCTGACTAGGCATCAAGTGACTTGCTGTGGTCACAGGGTGACATGGGGACAGAGTGAGCGTGGAAGCTGGACCCAGACCCCAGCCAGGCTGTCCCCCTCCTCAACCTCCCAACCCAACCACCCAGTGTGTAGGCAGAATCTCAGTCTCTGGCTGGTAAGCGGAGACAGGAGGGCAGGAGGTGAAGTGGGCCAAAGGTGGGTGACGAGCCTCTGGGCCGGACAGGGGTCTTCTGAACCCCCAGCAGGTGTGCTGAGGCCCCGGGGCAGGAAGGAGGACCCCAGGTGCGTACTCTTCTCTTCCCGCCCATGCTGGCTGCCAGGGAGACTCACCTGCAGTCACGCTCAGCCCCTCCTTCTGCCAGGTGACGCTTGGCCGGGGGATGCCCGAGGCCTCGCAAGGCAGCAGCACCTCCTCCTCTGCCACCGCCCAGACCACACTGGGTAGTGGCTTCACCACGGGGGAGGCTGCAAAGGAACAGGGCTGCAGAGGTCCCTGGGAACACTGTTAACACCCAGGCCCCTGCAACCCGGGGGCCTCTGAGCATTGGAGAGGCCTCTGAAGGGAAGAGGAGGTTCTGGGAACCTCAGAAAGGAGGACATGGGCGGGCTGATCCTTTTCTCACAAAGAATCCTGTAGTTCTCCATCTGATCCCCTGCCTCTGGGCCGGGGGATATCTACCTTGCACAGTGAGGAACACGTGCTTGTGGGCCACGCCCGCGGAGTTGCGGGCTGTGCAGGTGTAGCGGCCAGCGTGGATGGGGAGGGCCTGCCCGATCTCCAGGGCACCTGTGGATCAGAAGAGGGTACAGAGACAGGTGAGAGGACCCGGGACAAACATCCCAGGGACTGAGCCAGCAGGGCTTTTACACGCCCCACCCTGGCGTTCCTGTCGCAGGCCACTCGACCTGCCTCCCTGCCCATTTGTAAGCAGCTTGGGGGAACCTGGGCCTGCCTCTGCTCCCTGTCCAGAGCTTAACCATGGGCAGACCCTTCTACTCTCTGCACCTTCTAGTCTCTGGGTCAAGTGTACAATGAAAAGTCAGACAGGATGGTCTCTAGACTCTTCTGACTATGATGTGACAGGATCTGCCACTGCCCTGCCTGGAATCCCCAGCCCACTCTTAGTTCCAAAGGTTCTCACCCTGCTATCGTTGCCTTGCTATGCTATGTTCAAAATTTGCCTCTTCCAGGAAGCCTTCCTGGATTATTGTCTCTTCTGCCCTCCCTTTGCCCTCTCACCCTGAGCCTTGGCTGCTCAGTAAACACCATTTTAACCTTCCCAGACCACAGGCTGCACCTCACTAGTCAAGTAAGGTGGTTTCTAAACTCTCCCCTGTGGACCCTTGAGGGCCTGCTGGGTGGGCAAGGGAAGCAAGGCCCACCTGACTTGGGACCATTCTGCAGTCCCCACCCTGGCCCCAGATGGAACCAGAGCCTCAGTTTCTTTCATGTGTTGGGCTTCCCTAGAAACACTTGTCAGAGGAAAGGTTCAATTGCTCTGGAAGAGTTTGAAAACCACAGATCTGGCCCGGGGTTCACAAACTTTAAGATTTCACTAACTAACCAAATAGCAAATAAATTGAATTTGGAGAATCGCAGTAAAGTTGCCAATTTTTTATTCTGACAAGCAAAGACACTTAAAAAGAATCAGCATTTCCTATCACTTTAATTTCATAGAAGAAAGGCACTTTCAATACCAAATTATTAAGAAAAGCATTTTGTTCAGATAAAGGACAATCCTTATAATGAGATGAAACTAGCTTTATGAAAACTTTCATGGAGCTCTTATTTTTCTCCTTTTGCCATTAAGCACCACTGATTTACCAGTGCACATCAGGGACCCACCCAATGGGTATCCACACTTTGGTAGACAGGTGGCGATACTGAGGCCCAGAGGGGCGAGGGGGTTCTCTCAGGTCACACAGCAAGGGAATGTCAGAGCCAGGCCAGAACTTTCCATCTTGCTCCACCACCAGGCCCCAGTGGGATGCTCTCACACCCTCTACCCAATTCCCCTGGTGCCCCCTCCACAGCAGGGCCCCGTGGCTCACTCTTACTTACCCGAAGGTGAGACACGGTAGCCATTCCCCCGCATCCCCAGCCGGGTGCCCGCCTTGCTCCAGGACACAACCGGGACTGGGACACCTGTGCTGTGACACGTGAGGACCACGGGCGCCATCTTGGTCACCATGAAGTCTGTCTGGTCATCAGCAATGGTGGGAGGCACTGAAACGCAAGTGAAGGTTTAAAGCCCCGCCAAGGTCCCCTGGGGACACACAGCCATGGGGCCAGGCTGACGAGAAGGATAAACAGATCACAACACAAGGTGCTGTCAGTGACGAAGGGCCAGGGATGGGGGTGCACCAGAGAGAGTCACATTCGTTCACCCAGACGGCGAGTTTTGCTGGGCGTTGGGGCTAGTTACGCACTGCTTTCTGTAGATACTAGCCAGGTATCCCGGGGAGCGTTTCACAAGACAAGGGAGCTTGGTGGGAATACAGAGTAGGGGAGGCCAGAGAAGGCCTCTGCAGAGTGTGGCATTCCACCTGAGATCTGAAGGAAGAGCAGGTGTTGCCTGGGCGAAGGAAAGAGTGTTCACCATAGAGGGAACAGCATGTGCAAAGGCCTCGCAGTGAGGGAAAAAAGCTGAACAGCATGACTGAATCCCAGAGTGAGGGTGAGCTGACCAGGTGGTCGGCAGGGCTGACCTTGTGGGCCCAGGTGATACCATGAATTCTATACCAAAGTCAGTGGGCAGAGATTTTCAACCAGGGTGATGACAAGATTAGATCTGGGTTCAGAACAATCTGGACTGGGGAGAGGCCTCTCCTGTGAGTTCCTATGGGCCAGGGACTGGAGTTGGATTATGTCAGTGTGGGAGGGCAGGATCAGGGAGGGCTTCCTGGAGGAGGTGACCCAGGAAGCGCAGAAAGGCTCAAGAGGGAACCAGGGCAGGTCCCCGCAGGCAGAGAGACCACCCAGGAGAGGTAGGTGTGGCCCCCCTCCCAGCTTCCTCACCTGCCCCTCACCGTGAACAGTCACTCCTGAATGTCAACTCACCATGAACAGTCACCCAGTAGAGCCTGCGGGCCTCGCCCACCTCATTGCTCACCACACACTCAAACTGGGCTGAATCTTCAGGGCTGGGGGCTGCGAGGAGCAAGGCATTGGAGGGCAGGAGCCTGGACAGACAGACGGACGGTTGTCTGCTAAGAGACTGGGCTGAGTGATCTGAAACCAGCCAGCCGTGGCCTCCCTGCCAGGGAATTTGGAGCAGGGATGTGTCTCAGGACCTTTTTCCCATCTCTGGAACTTTCTCCTAGGATTTTCCACCTCCCAAGATCTAGCCGTTGAGTTTTGGGTGATTTTAATGTTTGCCCAGTGTTTCTCCACAACCCTGTATGTTTTCCACAGTCGCCACCTGTGGTAACTTCTATAACAGCAACCACAGCCAAAGCTCTGCTCAGAGCAGCCTGCGTTCACGGACACCTGCTTTAGTCATAAAGCTCCACAATCAGCTGGCACCTAACACAACTAATATTTGGTGAATTAACTGGTGAACTGACTCGCTTAATACTCCCAGCGATCATTTCTGCATTTGAGAAACGGGGAGACCGAGGCTCCTGCAGGAGCCATGGGTCTGGGCTCAGCCAGCACGAACTTGGACTTCCATGTAGGTTCTTAGACAGGTGACTGAAGTGCTTTTAAAGGCCATGGATTCTCTGTTTGGCTGTTGTCCCAAGTGCCCTCACCTCCTGCCAGGCATCTCAGTGTAAAGACCCTCCTGGCCCCCTGAGGTCGGGACACAAGTTCTGGTGCTGGCTTTGGTGAGACCCGAGCACGTCCCTGCCTTGGTTCTGGCCCGGTTCCCACTCTGTGAGATGAGCACGCCCTTCGCCACCCCGAGCAGCTCGTGACGGTCCCGGAAGGACCAGCTCTGTACCGGTAGGTGCCCTGCCGCAGGCGGAAGTCCAATTTCTGTCCGTTCTTCCACCAGACTGCGAGAGGCTTGGGGGAGCCACTGGCCTCACAGGGCAGTGAGGCGGGAGTGTGGGCGGTCAGGGTCAGGTTGGAGGGGCCGGGGGCGATGGCTGGAGGCTCTGGGGAGAGAGCAGTCATCAGGGGCCAGGGTGCAGGGTGGGAGTAGGTGGGAGGGGCTCACTGAAGCTGTGCACAGAGGGGAACCCAGGAACAGGGGATGCTCATGCCACCTTCAACCCATCCCAGAGGAAGCGGGAACGAGGAGGCAGGAGAAATTGCCAAAGGGGACCTTCCAGTGGGCTCCCAAAGCAGAGGTGATGGGGCCTTTGCTCACCCCTGAGGCTGACGTCCCCCTACCAGCCCTCCTTGAAGGAGGCCTCCAGGGTGCAACTCCCCAGCGGCACCCACCTCCCAGGGCTCGGGCCCAGCAGGTCAGCTTCCACCAAGGTGATTGACTGGATTAAAGAACAGACTGGAGCACCTGGGGGCTCAGTGATTCTGCGTGTTGCACAGCTCGTGCAGGTTTTATCACTCACTTAATACAATAGTAAGTAGTGAGTATATGCAACACATGCACAAAAAATAAATATGCATCTTGGAATGTACACGCTCAAAATCTCTACTAATGGGCTTCATGGTCAAAAACATTTGGAGATCCTTACTCTTGGCTCCTGACAGATAGGATGACCCAGAAGCTAAGCAGGACTCAGCCCACACTGGGGCGGATGATGTAGGCAAAAAACACACCTTCCCTCACTGACCTACCGAAGACCCGGAGTTCACGGCCCTGCAGATCGGAACCTGCAGAGTTGGACGCCAGGCAGAGGTAATGACCGGTGTCCTGGGTGAGGACTGGCTGGATCCTTAGGGAACCCTCAGGCAGAATCTGAAACCTGGAATGGAGGGAGGGGTTGCCATGGATATGGGCAGACAAGCGAGGCCCCACAAGGGGCTGGACCCCTGCTGGTGTCTCCAGCAAGACCCTCCCCTCTGTCCCTGGCTTTCCCAGTGAGAGGGTGCTAACTCAGGAGCCCTGCATCTGCGAGTCCAGGGTCAGGGCAGGGGGTGGGTCACAGCCATGGGCGGCAACCCGTACTGCCACCCAGCATCAGAAAGGGTGAGAGGGGCTGCTTCAGGCCTCTGGGGCTCCCATCTGGGCCCAGCCTCTCCCAAGAGCCAGCAGGCAGTGGTACCCCCACTCTTTCTGAGAATGGCCCCTAGATCAGGTCTAAAAACTGCTCCCTCCCAGGGGCCCTGTCTGGACTGTGGCCCCGCTCCCAGCCACAGCCAACTGGACTGTGGACAAACTCGGCACACAGGATGGGCCAGCGGAGTTCCCTGCCCTGGGAATTTGGGACTGGGATTCACAGACAGCCCTCTAGGGTCTGCAGGTTGTATGAATAGAGGCGCTAAAAGTTGGGGGCTGGGGGATCCATTTCTACCATGTTCATAGAGAAAGAAGGTGTTGAAAATTGGTCAGAAACAGAGAGAAAGAGAAAGGCATGAAGCCCACACAGAAACAGAGATTTGCAACCAAGAGTCAAAACCAGAGACAGCCACCGTGTACTTAGTAAGTGGGCGTGCCTGTCCTTGGGTTCTGAGAAGACCTATGTCCTTTCTGCTCTAACTGCCCAGGTGGGCTTCTGTTTACAACCTGTAAAGAGATACCTGAGCCCCTCCCTATTGCCCTCCCCTGCCAGCTCCCACCTGGGGCTCCCAGGATCCAGGGGGACCCCGTCCTTCCGCCAGCTCACGAGGGGTGGGGGGGCACCATCTGCCTGGCAGGGCAGCAGGGCCGTCTGGTTCACCGAGGCGTTCACTGCGGGTGGTCCTGGCCGAATGGTGGGGACCGCTGGAGGAGGCGCACAGAGGGAGCACGTGCTAGGA